CCGAAAATCATAGTCCCCCTGGCCGGAAACGCCCGGAACATATTGTTATAAACAAAAAACCAAGAAAAAATGGGAAAATGTGTTTTTTCACATTTGACTTCGAATATCTCGTTAACTATTGCTCGGAGGGAAAAAATGAATAGAAATGAACTTGTTTAGAATAAAATTTTCTATAAGATACAGTTTGTCCCGAACGCTCATTTTCAACTGTTATTGTTATTTATGGAAAATTGTAAAAAGGTAATCTCGAAAATTAACACTTTGTTATTACTAAGTAAAATTCATCCGATCTTTTTGAAAATCCGTATTTTCGAGATCCATTTCGATTAATTCTAACAACTGCAGAACTGTATCTTTCGTCAAACGAAAGCGCTTAAAGAATGTTAAGTTATCCATCTCCTCGAAATGATTTTTCCTAGTATAAACTTTACGTGGGAAACCAAACTCTACTATATCCAATATGTCTAAATCATCTTCTATGAAAAATTCTTCAACAACATCCATAATTTATCAAAATTTATGACACCACAGAAAGAAAATCAAAATAAAGATACTGGTAGTATTTACTATAACCTACAAATTATGGCATACTCGTACTAATCAGACCTTTAAACGCCCAAAATTGGATGTTTAGATTAAACATAGGTTACACCTTTCTAAACGTTGCTTAATGTACGGTGCAAACCCTGTCTATTGCTAAACAGTGTTTACGACTTTAAACGATGTTTAGTAAAACGGTGCAAAAAACACGAAAAGTCACTAAAAATGCATGGAGTACAATTCTTTCAATTTAATTCAAATGCTCTGAAAATTGGCACGAATAAATGCGCTCTTCAATCATAAGAACCTAAGTGAGTCTTTCACTTTAAACAAAAAATCGACAGGCGTACCCATACAGTGTCCCGTGACTATCTATAGTTTAGCACCATATTCCTTGCTCAATTTTAAGTCCAAATTTCCGTATACACTTTGTCCAAAACTCAATAGTTAAGAAATCAATAAATCATTCTAGTAAGCCATGTAATTGTTTTGTCATATTATTATGGTGACCTTGTGTATTCTTTGACGTTGTAATTTTAAAATCCATGGCTACGTTTTCAAATCAAGGATATGCTGATATTCACTTTATTTACGGATACTGGTGACGGAAATGCAAGAGCGGCAGTGAGGGAATATCAACGAAGGTTTCCTGATCGAAGAATACCTAATAGACCATATTAATTTAAAATTACAACGTCAAAGAATTAACAATGTCACCATAACAATATGACAAAAGACAAAACAATTACATGGCCTACTAAATTGATTTATTGTTAAATTCAATATTGCCCATAACTTCTTGACTATTGGGTTTTGACAAAGTGTATAAGGAAAATTGAGCAAGGGATATCAGGGGACACCCTGTATAAGTTAAGGTTGAACATTAAATGTTAATCAAACTTTTACTGCGATTTGAAAATTATTACCTTTTGCGAATCCCCATGCACCAATTTGTGCCCAAATTGGTCTCTATGTTGTTTGAACGTATGGGCCGATATGATGAGGTGGTATCATTAGATTGCTTTCAAGAATATTTTCGCGTGCATTTACACTCAGCGGTTACCTGTGATCCTGTGTTGTATGCTGAGCCTAGGATTCTTGATGAACGTTTTGATTTTTGCGATTTGGAGGTGGATATTCTTTGAAGTCTGTGTTGTATGAGAAGGCTGTGGTACCGAAATACTTCGGGAGGATCATAATTTTTTTCTTCGCTTTATAAAAATAAGGGCTGCGCAACAGGGTTACGGCATGGGAGGTTGAAGTGAGGGCGTTGCAGGAATCCCAAGTCGGTTATAAAGGGTGGCGCAAAAAGCGCATGGATTTTAGTAGCGTAGTGTAATCTGGGTTGCGTAATAAAGTTAAGGAGGGTGGTGTTATTTTATAGAATTAGACCAAGTTAAAGCGTCCACTTTCGGTAACAATGCCGCAGTGGACCTGCAGCTTCGCATCTTTGCTGCTGAGCAATTTTTCAAAATCAGTTAGGGCCCGAGCGTTCACCAGATCTATTGCTTTGCGCCTTCTTTTTATGGGGTTATTTGAAATCGAACGTTTACTGTTACAATACTCATTCACTCTATCTAAAGGTTGCAATAAGGGAATAAGATATTTGTTTATCATCGCCCAAGGATGAACTGATTAAATGTTCAGTGACCCAGTAGCTCGTTTGCTATATTTGTTACAAGTTTAGTTAGGAATTTATTAAGAAGAAAGTGGATTTCTGATTCTGATTCATCTGCGTACAGCGATCATGTAAACACGTAAAGTTGATTAAGAATTAATCTTTCCTAGACTCAACATATTCTTCAGGCTTGGTAACTATGCGTGGTCTGCAGCGGAAGGGGGGGGGGGGTTAAAATAAGCATGGAGTTCCAGTCCACGATCTTCCTTCCACAAAGTTACAGAAGTAATGCAGTAAATGCAATAAAAAAATTTAAAAAAAAAATTGGTGCGTGTAATTTAAGGTTTAGATTTATTGAACCCGTCTCAGTAATCTATAGGACGTTACTAAAATTTTTTCGAAGGTTTTCAAGAGATGTACCAAGTTTTCTTAAGTATGTAATCGAAGAAAAGTTTTTAGGTTTGCACCTCAGGTCTGACGAGGCATTTGCTACATAAATCTTAAGGAAGACTGCGAAATGATCTTCCTAACGAAAACGACTAGGAAATTGTCTACCAAGTAGACGTCTATAAGAAGGTTCTTGAACATAATTGCAAGAAAATTTCTGTGAATTTTTCATTGAAGAAGTTTTCTAAACGTACGTCTATAATTTTCTGAAAAACTTTTCAAAATGGGTTTCTAGGAAGATTCTTTACAAGGTTTGCGAAAGTGTCTCAATTGCTAGGAAGGGGGAAATGTTTAATGGTAAAGAATGGAGGGTGGCTCTGCCTCGGTGGACGCTACTTTTACCCTTATCTTAGGTCTACTCCGCGCGTAAAGAAGAATACCCCGTTCTAGACAAAAAAAATCTTGTCACGTCACTGTCTCCATTGTTCGTAATCGCCAAGAAAATTATTATTAAGTTCATAATTTTGCAGTGTCTGTCCGTTTGTCCATTGGCACGATATCTCGAAAACGATGAAATTCTGCAGATCCATGCAGATCTACGCTTCAAAGATCACATATCAAAATGCGTGCAGCATGGTTATGCGAATTTAAAACTTATTTACCGTAAGAGGCACTTGTTGGACATCAAACAAAAAACAATTCTATGTAATTCTTTGGTACTATCTAAACTAAATTATTGTGACTCAGTCTACAACGCCTGCCTTGATTCAGTCGATGAAAGGAAAATACAAAAACTGCAGAATGCGTGCTTGAGGCTTATTTTTGGAATTAAAAAGTATGAGCACATTAGTGATAAGCTAAGTGTTTGCGGTTGGCTTAATATGAAGCAAAGGCGTTTCTTGCATACGGCTGCACTGTATCACAGCATCATAGTTACCAAGTCACCAACGTACCTATATCGGAAAATCTCCTTCAGAACTGATGTACATAACCTCAATTTAAGGTTTAAAAGACTACTAACGCCACCAGTGCATAGAACGCAATTTTTCAAAAGATCATTTTCATATAGCATCACAAAGGTCTATAATAATCTTCCTGCAAACCTTAAGTTGCTATCGCTTAAATCATTCAAGCTTAAGTTGCGCAAATTGCTGCTCGAACATCAAATCCAAATTTAACATACCTAGTTATTTCATCGCGGTTTTATTGGAAGGTTCTAAGGAAAGTATTTTTTTTTTATTTTTTTTATATTGTAGTTTGTTTAATTTTTCAATGTAAGTAACAGTCGGAATAGTTCCAAGGTTAAGTGGAAGAACAGACGGCGGTAGTCTCCGCCGAACTGAACTTCGCCTTGTAAAAGTATATTTTTATTTCTGTTTTGCTTTTGGGGATAAATAAAGGCAATATTATTATTATTATACTTTTAGAAACAATAATGTAGCACCTATTGATCAGTTGTTAGCAGCGCAGCAGGTTTTATGCAAGTGCCGGACATTTAAGTACAGTGACTGATTTTATCGTCATGGATATCTCCACAGCATCACGGTTAGTTGCAAAGGTTACACATGCTATTGGTAGACTGTATCCACAGTTTGTTAAAATGCCAGGTCCAAATGAATTAATTCAAGCGCAGAGAGAATTTTATCGTTTATCATCTTTTCCCAGAGTTATTGGTTGTGTTGATGGTACGCATGTCAAAATACAATCACCAGGTACTTAAGTAGTTTCTCATAATACCTGATGAGGTCAATATACATTTTCCAGGTGGAGAAGATCCGGAGGTTTTTAGAAACCGAAAGGGATATTTTTCTATAAATGTTCAGGGTACTTGTGATGCAAATCTGAAACTGTTAGATGTTGTTGCTCGCTGGCCAGGGTCTACAAATGACTCCACCATTTTTAATAACTCGAGGCTTAGAAGGCGATTTGAAAACAATGAGTTCCCAAACTGTTTATCGCTAGGTGTGTTGGCTATTGACAGCAGAACATACAAAACAGTAATTTTCTAGGCGATAGTGGCTATGTTGTTAGAAATTACTTTTTAACACCTCTTCTGAATCCACTAGCAAGAGGTGAAAGACTGTACAATGAAGCACATATTCGCACCAGAAATGTTATTGAAAGATGTTTCGGTGTGTGGAAAAGAAGATTTCCAGTTTTAGCGTACGGAATGAGATTGAAGTTGAATACTGTATTGCATGTTATAGTTGCTACAGCAGTTCTCCACAATTTAGCAAAACAAATGAATGAAGAGGAACCTCCATTACCTGATGATCTTAATCATGAAGAAGTAAATTATTTGATCAATATTGGCAATGTTGGCGATATTCCTAATATAAATGAAAACGTTCATGTGAATCACTTTCGGGGTCATTTAATAAGGGAGTATTTTACAAGACTGTAAATTGTTAATAAAATTCACAATATCAAAATCACATTTACAAAAAGTACCAACTTAAAATAATAATGATTTTTTTATAATCTTAATTGCAACTGCTTTAATTTTTTCTTTTCTACTTGAATCTGTAATTTAAGTAATTCCACTTTTAGTTCTCTTTCACGTTCTATACTTTTTAGTTCTTCTTCCATTTTCTTATTTTGATAATTGACCATATCGATTCTTTTGTCAAGGAGCAAATCGTACTTCTCTGCCAATTCTGATCTTGATAATGCTTTAATTTGGGTTGTTGGACGACGCCTTGAGGTAGACAATGTGTGCCTTCTTTTTGGTGTAGGTGTACTGTCTAAGCAAATGAAAAGGCTATTTTACTTACAATGCATATGAGACTAAATACCTACCTTCCACATTACTTTTTCTTTTCCCACTTAAATTAGAAGTAATTGGTTTCTGTAAATCGGATGGTATGTGTCTCCTCCATGTTATATTCTGAAAACAAGTAAGTAGTTTATAATAAATAATTTAGAGAAATTACAAACATAACAATAAGAGAAAATAGGTCAATACTTACGTCCTCATCGTCGCTTAAATGTAATGATTCATACACAACATCTATATTATTATCTTGTACGTCTTCTGAAATATCTAAATCCACAGGCTACCAATCACAATACAGTTCTATAAAAATGTAATGATTTTATATAGAAACTACCTCTACATTTTCATCTACATCTACATCACCATCGAGATCATTTTCCAATCCATACACAGTTTTCGTATTCATAATCGAAAGGATAATGTCAAGGTTCTTTTTTTGGTATGTTGATTTGGCCTCCTCCTGTCGCAAATACTTCCTTTTTAGCGCATTTCCACAAAAATAAAAAAAAAATGCGCTATTGTGGCCACTTTGTCCGTCCGTCCGTCCGTCCGCTAACTTTGCGACGCTACTAGTTTTTTTATCTTAAGAGCTATTGTTCTACTTTTTTCGCTATTTGGTTCGTTATGGTGTCGAGTCTTGTACCAAGGAAGGAATTTTTTCTGTACCGCTTAAAAAAAAAGTTATTGTAAAAAAAACAAAAAACCGTTTTTTACATGTTCCATAATTTTACACTTTTGCCGTTTATTAACGATCCTAGAGATCGTTTATAATTTTGCATTGCTATCTGTCGTCTGCCTGTTGGTCTGTCCGTCTGTTCCTTTGTCTGTCTGTCCATCTATCTGTCCGTGTGAACGATAACTTTGTTTAGAAATGTTCGATCGCTTTTACATCTCCGTTAGTTATGAACTGAATTGCATGAAATTCAATATGGGCATAGCTTTAGCCATATAATACGCAATGCCAAAAGTTGGATCGAATCGATTCAAAATTCACAGTGCCCTTTTCGCATCTCGACCATTTATAAACCGAATTGCAAACTTTTTTACTTACAAAAGTATTTGAATGAAATTTGATACATAGGCACTTGGAATAAAGGAAAATCAAACGCCAATTTCAAAATTTGGTTTTGCGCATGCGCAGTGCCAACTTTTTTATTTATGGAAGAATTTAAACGAAATTTGATACATAGGCACTTGGGATAAAGGAAAATCAAACGCCAATTTCAAAATTTGGTTTTGCGCATGCGCAGTGCCAACTTTTTTATTTATGGAAGAATTTAAACGAAATTTGATACATAGGTACTTGGGATAAAGGAAAATCAAACGCCAATTTCAAAATTTGGTTTTGCGCATGCGCAGTGCCAACTTTTTTATTTATGGAAGAATTTAAACGAAATTTGATACATAGGCACTTGGGATAAAGGAAAATCAAACGCCAATTTCAAAATTTGGTTTTGCGCATGCGCAGTGCCAACTTTTTTATTTATGGAAGAATTTAAACGAAATTTGATACATAGGCACTTGGGATAAAGGAAAATCAAACGCCAATTTCAAAATTTGGTTTTGCGCATGCGCAGTGCCAACTTTTTTATTTATGGAAGAATTTAAACGAAATTTGATACATAGCACTTGGGATAAAGGAAAATCAAACGCCAATTTCAAAATTTGGTTTTGCGCATGCGCAGTGCCAACTTTTTTATTTATGGAAGAATTTAAATGAAATGTGATACATAGGCACTTGGAATAAAGGAAAATCTAGCGCCAGTTTCAAAATTTTATTTTGCGCATGCGCCGTGCCAACTTTTTTATCTATGGAACTATTTAAGTGAAATTTGATACTTAGGCGCTTGGAACAAAGGAAAATCTAACATTAGTTTTAAAATTGAGGTTTGCGCATGCGCAGTTCCAACTTTCTTATTTAGAAAAGCATTGAAATGAAATTCTTCTCATAAACTGAAATTGAAGTAGCACGTCAACAATGGATTGCCCATGTGCAATGCTATCTTTCATATTTGTGGCCGGATTTCTACGATTTTAACAGAAGTTGCATCTTACAAATGGGAAATGAATGCAAGTGGAAATGCGCTTTATGTAAATCGTTTACGATTACTTTTTAACTTGTTATCATTGACTGATGGTTAATGTAGGTGTGCGCAATACGCCAATACCTACCTGTTGATCGCGCAAATTAAGGGCAGTAATAAGTTACCATATTTTTCGCATATAAATCAACCCTTACAACGACCTAAGTAATGCTTTCATATAGGCACCTATATTAACAATAGAAACGGAATGAAAATTTAAGGAGTCGAGAGAAAACGTTTTCATGTAGAGGGTGGGAGAGGAAAATCAATAAAGGCAAGCCATGAATGAACAGTTCCAAGATGGTTGACATTTGACAGGGTTTTCAAAATAGCACTAAAATTCAACGTAAGTAGCAAGCAAGCAACGTCTAGCATTTAAAAAAATGACGCTCCAAACATAATGGCAACTTTCAATCGCTCGCCAAACGACATACCTAAGTGGAAACTGGCAAGGGAAGGTATACAACTGCTAATAAACAACAAGGCAAGCGATGCGGAAGCTTTATTTAAAGAATACCCCGATTCCATTCACCTTTACGCTGGTTACTCGTTCGCAATTTTTATGGTAAGTACGCATTACTTGAAGCAATTTAATTGTATGTTTCGCAACCCTCAGGATGCGATTACGACACTGGAAGATGACAAATTGACGACGGCTTTAAGTGCGTTAAAAGAAACTGAACGTCGGTGTTACTCGGATAATGGCTGGATGAAGGTGATGAAATCGAAAGTATTTGGGGCCGAAACCTCGTTATCTGATACCGAATACCTCGAACATCAAATCATACTGGCGGATGCTCAAGTATGCATGGCAATTTTGATATTTCTACAGCAGGACGTGTCGGGAATGTTTAAGGGGGGTTGGATTTTGAGGAAATCTTGGAAGATATACCAACATACGTATAACACCATTCGATCTTTGTACAAGGAGATCGTTGGCGAGCTTCCAGGTAAAAGCTTGTTTGTGCTCCATTAAATTTACGTAGACTTGTAGATGCGGCAACACAAAATATAGCCCCCTTAAATGAACGTGATGAAGAGGAAGATGTAGAAAATGTAGAGAAGCAGTGGGAATATCTATACCAGGGAGCCCCTCCTCAATCACCACCGTCCAATGGGTATTTACCATCCCGTCCTTTTTCTTTACAAAAAATGTCACGCTCTTACACGACCGATAATAGTTTGTCTAGTTACGCCACTAATGTTAACAATAACAGCAAAAGCTCAAGTAGGTGTAACTCCAGTGATTGTTTAAAAAATAATTGTTACGATATTAGTAGTAAAGTTCATTTAAGTAACGGGTACCATGCCAAAGGTTCGCTTAAAAAGTCATTTACTGTCGGTCTCGGCGACACCCTTTCCAAACCACTCTCCTTCAACGGCCTTTCGTATTTCACTTCACTCAACTTCTTCTCCTCAGAAAAACAGTAAGCCTTCAACGCGGAAAATGTAAGTTTGATGTGCAACTAATTTTTAGGAAACCGTGCGACATTGACAAGGAAACGATAACGCGACTTATGGGCGCGATATCGTTCGGATACGGACTTTTTCACTTGGGTGTGTCTCTGCTTCCACCCTCACTGCTGAGAGTGACGAGTTTCTTGGGATTTGGTGGCAATCGCAATTTGGGCATCAGTAATTTAATGTACTCGAGGGAAGGTTCGGATATGCACGCGCCATTAGCGACGTGCGTACGCAAAATTGTAATGGACAATCGCCTTTAATCAAAACGGTCGATTTTAGATTGGCGCTTTTGTGGTATCATACCATCGTAAGGCCGTTTTACGCGTTGGATGGTAGTAATGTGAGAGCCGGGGTTGAAGCAGCCATGCAGCTTTTGGACGAATCGCAAAAGGAATACAGAGACTCAGCTCTATTTCTTTTTTTTCTAGGAAGAATCCATAGACTAAACGTAAGAGGTACTTCCACCATGGTGTTGGGTGATATCCATTGTTACAACATTGTGGTGGAAGGATTTGTGTATACCTACAAGCGTATATCTTTTTAGTCTAACATTCCCGAAGCGTTAAATGCGTTTCAAGCGTCAGTCGAGAATTCCATCCAAAGGGAGATAAAAATGCTCTCGCTGCACGAGGTTGGTTGGTGCTACTTGATACAGCTCGATTACCGGTCGGCCGAACTCACGTTTGAAAAACTGAGAGTTGCAAGTAGATGGTCACGTGAATTTTACACTTACCTTTCTATTATCTGCGCGGGTGCGTGTAATAGTATCAAAAATGTAAATACACTAAGTCAAATGAAAACTGTATACGAAAACTCTCCAAAACTCAACCAGCTAGGGATGTTTCTTTCGAAAAGGTTCGCCTTGTGCCCCACTGCTGACAAAACGAAACTTAACGATAGAACGTTTTGGATATTCCTCATCTATGACATACTGTACTTGTGGAATGCATTGCCCAGTTGCACCTTTGACAATATTCGCCGAATAATCTCAGGTACATAACCGCTTTCGACGCTTTTATTAGCTTTCACTATCAACAGATTGTGAAAATGTCACCGTCGAACCCATGCTGGGCCTTGCGCTGCTCATTCGAGGCACCTGTCACTGCATCCTGAAAGAGTACGAGGTTGGGATCGAGTGTCTACGGCAGTGTTTGGAAATTCGAAAGGAGCTACCCCACAACGCCGATGACGCTCACGTCTCGGCCTTCGCGCAGTACGAGCTGGGGCACATTTTAATGAAGAAGCTGGGGGTAACGCATCTAAGATGTAATAATTATTGACTAAGTTTCATATTTTTAGAAAAAGAAAGAAGGAAAGGCGATGCTAGCTGACGTCGAGCGTTACAAGGATTACGATTTCGAGCAAAGGCTGAATGTACGTGTCCATTCGCTGATTAAACTCAGTTAGGATCGTAATTCGTCGATAAATTTGAATATTTTTGCACAAAATTTACTAGAAACAAATTATTCCCTAGAACCACAATAATTGTAATGTTACTTATAGTGCAGATGAGATGGGAAAGACGAATAGGTTGTCGTCATTGTTGCTTTTTCATATTTTAAGAAAGTTGCGTCCAATAAAAATAGAAATAAACGAAAAGCATTTTTTGTGACAACCCTCATCTCTCGTCCTCACAGGTTTTCTACAGTCCCCTAGGAAAACCAAGCAATAACAACTCAAAATGAAGAGTCAATGCATGATAAAAGCGCATTTTTGGTAATGCAGATCAGTATTTTATATTAGCAAATTTTAAAATTATCGATCTCACGAGTAATCTAACTCAAAATAGACTAGAGCCTGCACATCTACACTATAACAGAAAGCTTTTAGTGAAAATTTAAAGTCTCTAGCAATTGTA